AGTTATTGTTGACGTTATATAATTTAATCAAATTAATTAATGAGATCGATACTATTTGTATATTCTAGACATACAATTTCAGAGAAACTTTCTCTCTTGCTTTTATTGTTTGTAATTAAATGACATCAAGTCTAGTTGTGTTCGTTTTGTTATAAATCAAATATTTATCATAACTTGTCAATTATTTATTGTTTTTACTAGATAAATTATTCACAAAAAAAAAAAAATGGTATGGAAGGTTTTTCCTTGATTATGACAAAAAAGTTGTAGTAAAGCTAATATATATGGTCTGGATTTTCTGAAAGAAAGAAAATTTTCTATAATGTTGTATTGCTGATAGTTTTTATTGCCTCGTTTGTCTTTTTTGTTTTATTATCTATAAATATTCTATGTAACCTTGCATTTATTTGATGTCCTAATCAGTAGTCCAGTCGGTGTGTTTTCAAGAACAAGAACATATTCATTATAAATACATTGTCAACAATGAATAATAAAAGACATACATGAAGAATTTCTGTTGATTGCAATCTTGATAATTAATAAGTAAGCAAATTGAATAGTTTTCTTTTTTCTTTTGTTTTTCTACTTAGTTTATACAAATAAACAAATTTTTTATTTTAAATCCCTTTGAATGTCATTTATTGAATATGTATAGAATTTATATACATATATATATATATATATTTTGTTTCCTATGCGTTAGTTTTCTTTTTGTTTGGAAATATATTGTATAACTCTGTTTTATATAAATTAACACGTCTGTTGAATGGAAAATCGGTTACCATAATTCTATATACGGATAACAGTATACCTCATTTACATCTGTATAACGTTGACAGATATATTTGCTTCGTGATAATAATGATGATAATGGCAATGAATGCACAACCTTGGAGTTGAATTGAGAAAGTGTTATCGAGCTAGCACTCAAAGAAAGGAATAAAGCTCCTGTTACTTCTGAGTTTGTTCCATCTGGAATGATGTAACTATTTATACTGACCTCTTTATTTTTCTCTCTGGCGTGATAGCTGCATGTATTATTCATTGATTATTGTTTCTATACGCATTGATGAAAAGAGAAAAACGAGAGAAATGCTTAGCGTTAATTCGGATTGACATTCCACTTTAGAATTGTGTGTTTTTTTGTCTTAAGAGATAGAAAAAAAAAAGACCTCATAGGACATATTAGTCGCATGAGATATTACATTAAACATGAAAATCATGAAAAATAAATTCTCACAATTATTAGAGGATATATCCATATACAAAATTGAAACACATCTAAAATGCTATATCTGGAAAGATAATCTATCGGTAATATAGTATATTCTGATTTTTCCTATATAAGTATGCATAGTGTCTAATATTCTTCTTTTCTCTCTCTCTCTATTCTCTCTCGCAAAATGTCTCCGTATATAGAAAAAAAAACAATAGCCGAGCAACCGTGACAACCAATAGCATTACAAAGAAAATTGCATATTATATTGATTACAATCTAATATACTACTCTTTTTGCTTGAATTCAAAGACGAATATCATACATAACTATTTCGTTCTATGAAACAGGTGTGTATACACGTTCAAATTTTTTCAATTTTTTTTGTCCCTATCGTCCCTCCTTTTCAATGTTATATCAACAAACATAGATGGTATCATGTCATATTAGTAGAAACAACTATATTAGACAAACAATGATGAAAGATAAGTCTACTAACTGATAAAAGCGTAATAAAAGCACAAGATGGCAGACATAAATACGTATATATATACACAGTGACAACCAATACAGTAATATTGACTTTTCTAAGTAGGGAAGATGACACAATAACAAAAACATAGAACTATAAGATAAGTTTGTTTTTTCCACTTGACTAATATAAAAGTAATGAACAATAAACAGAAGAAAAAAAAAAACGTTGTGTCCACTAGGGAATCATATGACATGTCACATCGATTATATGTAAGTGTGAATAGTTATTTTACGCTTATTTTCTTACTAACAACAAGTAGATTCTATTGATAAAAATAGTGAAAAACAAACAGAAGAGTTTTCTTTTCTTCTTCTTCTTCTTCTTCTATATGTATCGAAAACTAAATAAAACATTTCTTTTTTTCTTACTACAGTTAATGACAAAAACAAGTTCTTTGCTATTTCTTTTTTTTTTGTTCTATATGTCGTTGCAAACTACTAATTCAGTTTATTAAATGTCTAGTATTCTTCATGTTCTTTTAGATGCCAATATTTGATGAATACCACAATATTTTCGAGTGATGAAAGATTCCTTATATTTTTTTAATTGTTACCAGACTTTTGTGAGAGTTTGGATTTGTTAATCATAATTATATTACATGATGTTCTTTAGTATTCTTTTTTTTCCTCTTATTTGAATGAGATAATATAATCAGTTGATATCCATCATTTTTGATGATCTTATAGATAAGAATGAATGTGCAATTATTTAGAAAGAAAGAAAAATTGTGCGGTTTGCTTTTTCTTTGTCTTTAATTATAGAAATAAATTTTTATGTTAGTTAGATAATTATCATTTGAATAATGAATTGTTCAGAAACAGAAGATATTGCACGTCAAATTGAATTATACACGTACCCAATTCTACTTGCTATTGGTACAGTGGGAAATTTTTTATCATTTATCGTTTTGATTCAAATGCGACAACATAGTGTATATCGATATCTAACATTTATGTCTCTTGCGGATACAATTGTTTTATATATTGGTTTATTACGCGAGTTACTCTTATCATCAAGTTTGCATATCCATATTCATGGGACAATATTATGCAAATTACATGTTTTCTTTTTTTAGTAAGCTAAATTACTTTTATTTAGCAAAGAAAATATTTACATTAATTCTTTTATGTTTTTTTGTTTTTTGTTTTTAGTAATACTCTACATTTATCATCATGGTTTCGATGTTGTTTAAATTTAGATCGTTATATTGCTGTAAAATTTCCTATATATACATCAAAATGGTGTCGTACACGACAGGCAACAATTAATGGAAGTATTGTGTTAATAATATTATGTTTATCTAATATTCATTTATTAATATTTGTTCATGGTGATAATAATAATGGTCTAAATTCAAATCTCCCAACTGTTAATCCATTCCAATATCAACAATGTTATTTACATGAAAATTATGTCTATTTTTTTGAACAAATATATACATGGATTGATATGTTTCTTGTAACAATAATCCCATTTTTATTTATAACTTTATGTAATTTAACTGTTATTAATCGTGTATTTCTTGTATCAGGTCCAAGTAAAAAAAATGAGTTAGTTTGTCGTTCAAAAGCAACAAATCGTTTACGTTCACTTTGTCTTATAATGATATGTTCATCATTTGTATTTGTTGCAACAACATTACCTGTGACAGCATTTATTATTGATTTATTATCAAATAAAACATCTATTGATGTTATGCGTTGTCGACGAATACAATGGACAATTTATAATATTTTAATGTATTTTAATTATGCAAGTATATTTAGTTATTGTTTATCTGGTACAGAATTTCGTCTTGTTTTAATGACAACAATACGTATAAAAACAAAATCAAGTTTAGTTTCAATGTTTCATACAGATATGATGAATGCTATTAATTTACGTCGAACATCAACACCTCAACAATCAAATCGATTAGTTGTTGATTATGAAGATAAACAACGATATCGTTCATTATCTGTTATTGTTATACCAACAATAAAATTAAATAAAAATCAAAATAATTCAAAATTAAATAATAATAATAAAAAAAAATATTTAGATATTCAACCAATAAATTCTCGTATGAAAAATAAACATTCATGGACAAGTCAAACAAATTGTGCTGGTTTAACATTATCATCAACAATACAAAGTTCACGAGAAGCAGGAAGAAGATCAAGTTATATATTAAATAATCATTTAGATAATGATGATCAACATGTAAAACAACAATTAGTTTCTATTGAAAAATAAAATATTAGTGAAATGAATTATTATATTGTTTTTTGGATATTAACATTTATATTTATCGTCTTGAAGTATATTATTAAATTTTCAAAACACAAAAAAGAAAAAAAATGGAAAATATCATTAAAAACTAGACAAAGATTTTTCTTTTTGTTGATTTGATTAATTTCGATAATAGATAAAAATCTTCTAATGTGAATATATATATATATATATATATAGAAATATTACTGAATAATTTTTGCTTGGAAACAAAAAAAAACTTATTTACTGTTTATTTTTAGAGAATCTATTTACTTCTGTCAGCTAGAATGACTCAATGTTGTAAACATATTTTATGTCGTTTGACGAATATTTTTTTTTTTTGTTTTTCTATACTATTCGGAATTGATTTCCAGTAGATTGATGGTTATTAATATAGATTATAAATCGAAGTATTTGACGACAGAGAGAGATATATTAATAAAAAATGAAACATGATTTGCTTTCAGAAGCAATTATATATTTTTCCTGTATCTTATAAATTATTAATTATTTTTTAATTCTATCAGATTATCGCTTATTATAAATCTCAGTCAGTTAATCTCTGTCTTAAAGATTATAAGTCCAAAAAAACAAAATTAAGTATGTAATCTAAAGACAAAAAAAAGAAGGAAAAGATCATGTTGACTTGTCTACATAATGGAACCTTTCTTTTATGTCAGAATAAAAATAACTCAGCGTAGGATGGACACATGGGAATATAATCTTTCATGTTTGTATTACAGAAATTGCGTTATAGATATTGTTAAATTTATCCAATTATATTGTCTATATATGTTTGAATTATTTCAAATGTAAAAAGACAAAAAAATATTTTGACAACAAAAGAAAAAAAAACCTAATTGGAATACATCAGTTTTAATTATACTGAATTGGAATCATATTATATGTCGAGCTTTTTCTTGCTGTTTCTACTATTATCATTGTTTTGAGTGCATCTTCAATATCAGTTGACGGTTGATCATGTACATTTTCATATCAACGTATAGCTGCTGCCATTGGTCCAATAAATGCATGCGGAAAACGACTTCGTCCTTGTAAATCAATATCGATCCATTCGCCTTTAGTCATTTCATCTGAACAAATCTACTCAAAAACAAACAAATAAAAATCGATCAATTGAAAGGCAATCAATTTTTGTTTTACTTGTAAATAATCTCTTTGTTGTCCTTCTATATTTTTTCCATATGCAAGATTATCACTCATTTGTGCTTTAGTTGCACCTCCTGTTCCTTCAACAAGTATATAGGATTGTGCATGTTTCATACCCCAACGATGCATATGATTTGTATAAATATTTATGTATAACAGTAGATCATGTTTATATTCAAATGAATATGAAGATCGTACTGACGTCAAATGAGGTATCATTATAAGTTGACTTGTGCGACAATGTAAAGCAGTAGGTTCATATGGTTTTAAAAGATCACGTATCAAATCAACATAATGTATTGAATGATAGGTTGGTTCAAGATGTTGTACAGGTGCTAAAAATGGCCATGATTCTCATGGCATATGTACATTAACATGTATTTCAATAGTTGTTAATCGTTGACTTAACCAACCAAGACGAATAGCATCTTTAAGAGCAAGAATATAAGGAGCATAACGAAGTTGAAAATTTACTGAACCATAAATATGACGTTGTTTACATACATTAACAATTGATTGAGCATCAATAAGATTTTCACCCATTAGTTTTTGAATAAGTGCATGAGAATTTCTTGGAAGTTGTTTGAGAATAGATTGTATCTGATTTGATGGAACAGCTAAATCAAAAATAATATTTTCATTCGTTGATGTTGTACATACTTCATTGATTGTATTATATACTTTTGGTATATGTCATTTTTTGGCTACATAAAATGCTTTTTGTTGATCAATATCATAAATACCTTTTACAGAAAAATCCAGCTATTTTATAAGCTGGTAAATGTCCTAAAGTAGCAATTGCACCAGTACCAATCAATATAATTGGATAATTACGTGGATTTTTAGGTAAAGCAGGTATTAGATTTAATTGAGGAAGAGATGTTCCATAATGCTTCATTTCATGATCATTTATCTTTTGTCAAATTTGTTAAATAGTAAACTATAAACAATAACAAATAATTTAAATTATCTTACCATTCTCGAGGTCACATAGTAAAAAGACAATAAGGAAAAGAAAAAAAAAGACATACGTCATTGATAATACAGTATTTAATGTTTAGAGCATTGTTAACATATTAAGTGGTTTGTATAAAAAAAGAAACACAATTATTCTGCATATAGAGAACACTTAATAACTTTTTCCATTGACGATTAAAAGAAAAATACAGACGAAGTACAAAACGCGCAAATCAAGCAATGTCATTGATTTCAAGAGAAAAAGTAAACTGGTGAATGTTGTAAAAAAAAATATAATGAGCAAAATGTTTGTTGCTTTATTTGCGTATCTTCACGTTATCAGTTGAATGTAACACTCTCGTAAGGCATGTTTATCAACATAAAACAAATAAGATCACAAGAAAGAGTTAAAAAAAAAAGAAGACTTTCATGATATACTTTAGAGAATTATTGTAGATGCAGTAAAAATGAGTTATAATCAAGATCGTCGATAATTTTTAGGTGTGTCAGGAGGTGACCCGACGTCTCACACAACAGACGATCTGCCACAAGGTCTTCTTTCCCTCCAAGACCTGTTTCAATCCTATATATCTCACAACCACCTTGTCTGCTTGTTTTTAAGAAAAAGTTTAAGAATACTGAAGAGAGACAAGTCTTATATCAGATGTTGTCATTTTCATAATGAAATAGTGACTGAGATCACTAAAAATATTAATTTGAATCATGGAATGGATTTATACACTATAATACTCAGTTTTCATTATACAATCAATTGCATTTTATTATTAAACCGAATGAACTAATAATTTTATAGAGAATGTGATTACTGCTTTTTATTTTTACTTCATTTCTAACATTAATGTCCTCGTTAGAACTAAAGATGAATGGATGGATGTAAATTTAATAATTCGACAAGGCAAATAGGTAAAGATCTACCGTTTTCAGTAATCGAGAGAGGAGAACTCCAGACATCTTTTTGTTTGATACTATTGTTGGACAAAATTATTTTAAAGCCTATCGTGTTCGCAAAACACTAGAAAAAAAACGCATGAAAATGGTGTTCCATTTCGATGTAATTTTGGTTTTGACATGTGCTTTAGACATTGTGTAGATATTCAGTAAAATATTATACAATTCTATTGATTTTTAGCAAATTTTCTGACTTTTTATCAACGGTTTCTTAAAGCGAAACACTGCTGCCATGTATGTTTTTCAATTTTTTACGAAGATAATAGATCTTAAATTAATTTTGTCTCACATCATATCATAGAAAAAGATGTCCAGACTTCTTCTCTTTCGATTTCTGCAAACCATAGGTCGCTAGTTATTCTCGTTGTCCAGTTATTGAGATTATATACTCAACTCTCTTTAATTCTGACGCGCACATTAGAATATTAATTCAATTCTCATTACAAAAAGAAACCAAGTTTTTGGTTGAAACATATAGATTCAACAGCTATAAAAAAATGCAGTCAGACAACATTTTTATTTTAGTTTTTCTAAGTAAACTTTACATTTTCTTAGCTATGATTCTACTTCTCTGTCGATTAATTCATAATGCGAATTTTTATAGAATACTTATGACATTATAGTGCATTAATCTATTTATTAATTATATCAGATCATTTTCTATTAAACAATTTTATCAACGTGTATGATAAATCCTGTTGAGCTGATTGACAACGCACATGGCCTTGTCAAAAAAAAAATTGGAGATAATGCGTTAATCATCAGCCATCATCAACACATGCTTATCGCCATACAAAAAAAAAAAGTTTACTTTAATGAATTTTCAATAATTCATAATAACGAATTCACTTCCATGGATACTAAAATTCAATATTGTATTAATTATGGGCAAGAACATTTAAATTTAACAATCAATCTTCGCAGTAATACGAGAGCAAAACTTACTATCCAATTGTTCTCGATCTAAACAAGTTCGTCTGTCACTCAATGTAACTCCCACGACAATAAATTGACGTTCGATTCAAACAGTTGTTGCTTGACTTGAATGAATTTGTCAAAGTATTCTCAAATAGTAAGATGATGTGTCGACATTTGATTTTTAAAATGTAAGAGTCAGACTAACAACTTTGGTCTGGCAGCTCTATTATATTTATCTGGTGTTCAATCTACTCACGTTTTTGAATGGAATGTTTCGACTGTTTTATACATTATTGGTTAAATAAAATTTTTTTTCTGGCGATTTAAACGAAGTTCTTTTTATAGGAAAATAATCTATTATGAAGATTTGTCCTATTGAATAAGATGATATCAAGTAAAATCTTTTTCAGCTCAAAGTGTTCCTATATTCAATAGTCCATTTTTATAAGATCTTCGGCTATGATCAACTTTAAAATATATTCAATAATAGATTATCTAATGAATCCGATTTAAATTAAACATATGTTGTTTTCTTTTTGTTTTGCTTGAAAAAAAAAACAAATTCTTTCATAATCATGATGTGCCTATAAGTTTTTCAAATTTTCTTAAAACTATTTGCAACTATATAGTGTGTATTTTATTCGAGAAAATAATATCTCGCTAGCTAAATATAATAAAAAGCATTGAAATGTCACAATTTGTTCTTAATTTCGTTGATAAGTGAATTAATTTGATCATTGCTTAGACCGAAACCAGAAAGTCGTTTGCGACCTTTTTCTACTATTCCATACCAAAGATTCTTTTGATCAGTATGTTTTAATTCAAGTAAAGCAATGGCTAATGCTGTTGTTAAAGCATCTTTAGATTTAGTAACGTTAGATGTAAATGTGCTTAATGATTTACCATTGGTCAACTTTTTAATATCATTCTCATTTAATATCCATGCTCCATTGAATGATTGTTGATCAAGTAACCAGCGAACAGGATCAGTAGACAAGGGTGGAGTAGTGGTGGCGATGGTTGAAGAGGCTTTTGAATCTTGTAGCGCATATGAATGCATCCATGCATTTCCGGCTTGCTGTGGAGCAGGTCTGCATATGTTACAAAACAAAAACAAAACGTTAAGTGATACGAATAGAAGAAATTTGAAATGTATCAATTCATCACTATCAAAATTTAGAAGCTATGAAAATAATCATCGGATACATAATTTTCAATATAGTACTCTAATAGACTTTATGAAAACTGAAAATGACAAGATCATTCAATCATCTGTCTAACACACTTCGTTGCAACTTTTATTTCTATTTTCATAGATTGAGATTCAAAATTTTCTATAAATGTGTTGGTTATCTGTATAAAAATAAAGATGGACAGAACATCTAGACACATTTCTAAGCACAGCTACAATGCAGTTTGTCCTGGAAAGACTTCAAAAACACTTACGGCCCTGCTTGAGCTGGATATCCTGACATGCCTATTGCCATTGGCATTCCCGAGTAATGATGGCTGGAACCAGAAGAGGGTCTTGACCCCATGACGCGGCGGTAAGCAAAAGAATGTGATGGTCGGTGACCAAAAGAATATAATGATGGGGTGTCAAATAAATGTTCATCACCTTTTGATATTTGAATAGGTATATGACGAACTTTAGAAGCAGTATTATTATTTTTTGGACTAGTAGTTTCTACACCCACAAAGGCTGTGTAAGGTGATAAAATTTGATGGTTCATTGATAGGGTAGTAATACGTTGTTCAAGCGTCGAATTGTTTCTATCAAAAAAAATAAAGCAGTAAAGAAAACAAAAATTAATTAAACAATTCAAATGATTTGAAATGACTTCTCTTTTTTCAAAAAAAAAAAAAAAAAAAGAAATCTTCATTAGTTTTAAATACGTACTCTGTATCTGATGTATTAGATGTTTCATGTTGTAATTCTTGTATTAAAGCTTTAGCTGCTAATCGACGTATTGTATCTTGTTTATGTGCACTATTACTCAATAACTTAATTGAATCAATTTTATGATCTCCAACAAACAGAGCTACACTGATATTTTGATTCTTCAATTCATCACCTTCTAATAATTGATAAACTAAGACACGATCATTTATATAAAGAGGTGGAATTGTTTTCGGAGCTTGTAAACCAGTTGTAGACAATCCATACCATTCAAGTCGAGCATTTACTAATGATGGTTGAAGTGCTCGACCAAGTTGACTACCAACATATGTATCGACTTTTGAATTTGGAGGTACAAAAACAAAATAACCATTTGTTGCACGAGCAAGACCTTTCACGAGAGAACGAGATGGTGAATGACCAAGACCAAAAGAAAATATTCGTGTAGTTGAAGACATTGAACGACATAGTTCGATTACCTAAAAAAATAAAGAAGATCTGTGACATCTTATTTTCATATTATGACATAAATATTTTTCTTTTTCTAGTCTATTAATATAACTGTCAAATCGGAATGCTTTAGAATGTTGAATAGAATAATTATAATAATATCTTTTTATTGAGAATATATTTACTGTCATTTTTCGAAATTAAATGATATCAAATTGAATATTTGACATGTAATACAACTTTTAATTCTCTATAAAATAATTAGTTAAAAGATATCGAGAAAAAGAAAAACTTTACCTTTAAAAGTAATATGAGGCTTACACTATCAATGAAGACGACGTTGGGTACTTTTCAATGTCCTTTTTTCATAATAATTTTTATTTCATAGACTTCATCCTGATTAGAATTATATAGACAGATTTATCGAAAAAAAAAATTTTGTTTTTTTGAAGAAATCGAATAATAATCGTCCATATTGATAAAGCACAGCTATATGATCAAAGTTCATTATCAATCATTATCTAGTATTATATAGAACATTCTTTTAATGGAGAATTAAAGGATCTAGGGCAAGTGTATGACATCAAGAGGTCAATCGTTGATAATGAACTTCAATCATATGCCTGTGATCAATGTTTCATGTTTTATCGATATGAAAGATTATTATCCGATTTCGTAAAAAGAATTTTTTTTTCTCTTTTCGAAAGAACTGGTTCTATAGTTCTAGGCGGGAAGTTATTTTTCTTGACGCTGTTTAACTTTCTATTGATAATATAAGCCTCATATTACCTCGAAGATAAAGTTCTTTTTTTCAATAGTTTTTGACTATTTTCTAGAAAATTAAAAGTTATATCATATGTCAAAAATTCAACATTCTCACTCATATTGACTCAATAAATAAATCATATACAATATTTTACATAGGTCATTTTGTTTAGCTATTGTTAATCTATGTTTGGATGTATTATATAAAAAAATTCTGTCTTATGGAAGTATAATTCTAGTAGACATTCATAAGACAGCTAATCACTATTTTCTTGATAGTAGATCGATAATGCTGAAAAGTTGATCAAGTCTAACTTTACTATAAAATATTAAAATGAACTAAAAATTTCAGTTTAGTAGTTTTAGATGATAGTCTTTCAAGTGCATATAAAACTTAAATTTTGACTATATAGTACGCTGCGTATACGAGGATTATCCTTGGTTTTCTCATGAAATGTCTCTTAAATATTTCATATTATATGTTTACGTCATTTGTATTCGAAATTTCTCCATCAGTCAACAGCAATATTTGTCTTGATCGACCTTTGGTTGGTGGATGATCTTTCAAATGTTTCAAAGGTTCTAATAATTCTGTTCCACCAAAATTGGCCTGCATTGAACGTGTAAGATTTTCAGCTTCTTTAGCAGTTTGTTCATCATAAACAGCTGTCATACTCTCATTTTTGAAGAGAATATCAAAATTTGATCCAAAACGAATAATATTAAAATGAGCACCAACTGGTAAACTACGTATAAATAGAAGCATAGCTTCTCTAGCAAGACCAATACGACTATCTTCCGTCATTGAACCCGAACAATCCACTAAAAGATAAGAGAAACAAAAAATAAAATAAAATAATTATTCTTTTTTTTTGTTTATAAGAATTCTATTAAAATATTACCAATGAAAATAAATTCAGTATTGGTTTCATCTTTTCCATTAGAAATTTTAATAAAATCAGAAAGACGTGGAGTAAATGCTAGAAGAACAGCATATTTTGATGTATCATTATATTGTTCAATAACAGAACGTGTCAATGGTCGATTATCAGGTAGATCAATATCCAAAATAATATCACGATCAAGAGCAATACCCATTGAAGAAACATCAATTGATTGACGTGTTACATTAACTTTTACTGGATGTGAAAGATTAGCTACTTGCTTAATTTTATCTAAAATTATATGAATTAATTTAAATAATAAAAAAAAAAAATCTTTCAATCAATAAAATATCTACTTACGTTCATCACCACGAAGAACATGTGCTTGAAACGACATTGAATATGAAGTGTTTTGAACATATTCAGCTGGTGTACCATCAGGTGTTTGTAGACGACCTAATGATGGATTATATCGTGGAGCAATAGTCGTAGGAACAACAAATCGAATAGAATTTCCATCAATTAAATCTAATTCAGCTACATATGTAATTTTAACTCGACATTCTTTTCCAGGTGGTAAAGCACCAACATTAACCTAAATATAGATATGAAGTTTTTTTTGAATTGATAAAAATTTTTATTTAAATATATTTATAAATTACTCACAGTGAATGTATCTAATGTTTCTTGGCTTTGTCGCATTAAAACTGCTGTTTGACCTTGTTCTACAGCTGATTTATATTCTTCTTCTGCTTTTTTCTTTTCTTTTAATACAGCTGTGATCGTTCGATTGTCAATTTCAGCCGTAAAAGAATAAACGGCACCATTTTCCTACAAAATCAAAAATTTCTATTTGAACTAAATAATAAGTCAACCATGAGTTGTGACATAGACATATTTATTCACTTTAGTTCGACACTGAGATTTTCCTCATCGGTATCCCACTAGGATGCTCCTGAATTTTTTGTTCTCATCGTTTATACTTAAACACATGCAAAATATAGAGTTCACAGCGCTGATTATAAATATCATCTTAGTTTTTGTATAAACTATTTCGATGTATTAAGAGAGCAAATTTCTAAAGAATTAGGTCCTGAGTGAATAAGCATCTTATGCTTTGTTTTTGACCGACTACCAGCCTAATATAATGATGTAGAAATTAAAACATCGCAGTAAGTGAAATAGTTCATAGAACTAGATTACAAGCGAAAATCCTAATCAATTGATGTATGTGGCTTCTTTCGAAATTATATCACTTCACTATCTAAACTGAGTACCATCTAAAAGTGATATAAGCAGTTCCAGTTTTCATGCTCTATTCAAATATGTCCTTGAAGAGGAAAAACAAAGCCTATTTTCTTTGAGTAAGATTATCATTTAATAATGACATATCATATTTTTCAGATCATCTTTTCATAGTTTGAGCATGCTGTGCATCGTTCGATATATTTAACTAACAAAATTAGTCTTTCATAAGATAGAGGATAGTCGATTAACTAAGTTAAATATTTCTAAAGTATTACAGATTGGTGGAAAAAAGATCAAAACTTCTTGGATTATGACAGTTAACATTGAAAAATAGTAAGGGTGATTAGATCATTTTCATCATCACGGCTTCACTTTTCAAAACAAAAACCATATGGTCATAATAAGTCAATCATGGACTACTAGAAAACTATTTTCCTTGATTTCATATCAAACAGATGCCATAGTATAGACTTCATGACATTGAACACGAAAATCTTCTCAGTTTTTGTCTAAATCATTTTAACAAGTAAAGAGATGAGATGAGATGAGCAACACTTTGACCGTAGACAAAAAAGACTACTGTCTCTGTTTGTTTTTGTTAAGTCATTCTCAATCCAATACAGTGGTCTAAATCTTTGACAAAAAGTTTAAACTAAGTTTTCTCTATCTAATGAATGAAAAATATAAATTTTCACTACTAAATGGTAATTTTATTGCACAAGAACATGAAAAACTGGTTTCGCCGATATGATTTTCAGAGGGTAAGCATGTTAGATAGCGAAGTGATATAATTTCGAAAGGAATCGCCTACATTAATTAACTAAGATTTTCGTTTGTAATCTGGTTCTATGAACTGTTTCACATATTGAGATGTTTTAATTTCTACGCCATTAGCTAAAAAATACTTGAATACCCATTTGAAATTTGTTGTCAAATATTTAGAACATTATATAAAACTGTTCGTTGGTCAGAAACAAAGAACAGCGTGCTTATTCATTCAAGATCTAATTTCTTTGAAAATTTCCCCTCATCACTCATCAAAATAGTTTATAAAAAAACTAAGATGATATTCATAATCAGCGAAGTCAACTCTATTTTTTTCATGTAGTTAACTCAAAACGAAAAGAAAATAACTTTCAGGTGCACTGGAGGGAGATACAGCTGCGAAAAATCTTTATATTGAATTAAGATGAGTAAATATACTTATGTTATAGTCCAATGTTGACTTACTATCGCATAAACCTTTTTTTCCACAAATATGTTAGAGAGAAAAGTGCACGTATTGACCCTCATCCTTTCTATATGTACATTAGAATGATCTATATAGTTAGTTTGTACATATGCGATTTTCAACTATGAATTTGTTTTTGTTTTTTTTTATATAAAATATTAACAAAAATCAGCTTCTGAATGACATACCTCAATAGGAAATACATAAATTGCTTCAATAGGATTTTCTTCTTGATTAACAAATATTTGGGTCAATGTGACGTCGGCAGCAAAAGAATCAATCCAAGCTTCAACTGATACATTACGAAGTGGTACATATGCTTGTTGAGTTTCATTGAGTAATGGTTTATATCGAAGTCCTATGCATTGAACATTTTTATTATCATCACGAGCAGATTGATGAATTGCTTTGGTTACTAATCGAAGACCATTAATTTTTGATGTATTACTAAAAATTCGATTAATTTTATTTAGAATATATTCATTTGTAATATAAAGTTTATTTGAAAGTTTTCAAATAATTCAAATTTTATATACCTTTTTTGACTTTCTTTTTTAATTACTTGTCCTTTATTGCATCGTTCTCCTTTAAGACGATCAAATGTTACATTGTTTTTTCCACAAAAACATATATGTTGACCATTTTTTGGTTTTTGACATGAACGAAAACCAATATTTTGAGAAAATTTTGACCGTTTAATTGTTGTTTCAGTGTGACTAATAATTGTCACAATGGCAAGAACTAACACAATAATTTCAATAGAAATAATATTCATTCTAAATAAATAGATTATATTTTGTAAGCAATGCAAATGTTTATATTTATAGTTAAGACAATCCTGATATCTATCAACACATTACAGTGAAATTTCCCACTAGCATATTATTGCTTTTTCTGATGCATGTTGACAAGTAAAAAAAACAGATGTAATATTCCTTCTTCGTCTTTCGTTAATGATCTTAGAACCTATTTAGAATACGATTACAGTTATGAATAATATCATTGCCTTTCGCGATGCTTCTTTCCCAGGGAAAAAATAACACAATGACATGTATGGATTGTTAACATTAGCGATATATTAGACTATGATTATTAATCATCGAAATTCAATTAGTCCATTCCTATGATGCGTTTTCTATATTTTTATCCTAAATGCGGGGAAAAAAGTGTTTTGTTTTTTAGTGAGTCATATGACAGTCTTGATTACATTTTTTTTTCGAATGAATAAAAATTCATTGTATTCTATTTCAAGTATTTTAGACAAACAGAATTAAATGTAATCATGATATTTGTTTTTATTAAAAAAAAAAACTAAATAAATATGATAAAATGACTTTAGTATGTCTTCATTTAAGATGTTCTTTGTTATTCTCACTTACAGATTTGTTGCACAATATACAAAGAAACAAATTCATGAAAATAATTCACCTCATGTATTCTTCGGTAATATTTTCATCGCCTTGTACTCAGCAGACTTTCTTTGAGCAATGTGTAACAGATTTCAATATGCTCAAATAACAAACTATTTAATATCAAGCACTATTGGAAGACTATCAGTATTATTATACATAGAAACATCATAGAGATCGACAATTTTCACTATTCAAGAGAGAACATCTAGAGTCATCGAAGTATATCGAGATTTAATTGATCGATTAGGTGAATTCGTGATGAAAATTTTCAAAAGATAATATTCTGAAGTTATTTCCATTTTGATTTAGACTTTTAATAGGACGACTGGATAGAAAAAAAAACTGTTTGCTTTCGATCAACACAATGTCGATATTCCCAGCTTGTTCTGTTCGAAATTTATAAGACTTTCTTCAGGTCCTCGATTTCAACTAATTGACTTATGATCACCTAGAAAAGAATATATGCCGAGGCAATTCTTCATATTGAGTCGAATAATGGTATGTATTTTGGGGTTCGAGCTGATCTGACACTGCTATCTTAATATTTCTGAAATACTGAGATAATAATGTGAGAGCAGTTCAAATCTAAAAATAAATATCGTCATGCGACTCAGGTGCTTTTCTGAATGATCACAGATCAATTGGCTGCAATTGAAGATCTCAGGAAAAGTCTTATAACTCTCAAACAAATACTTTGACAGCGCCGAGTTTTTTCTCGTGAATGGTGGAGAACCGCAGGTCTCTATGATATTCCTATCAAAAGTTATTCAAAAAATAGTGCAGCATATTATATTTTGAAATGGATAGTAATTATTAAATATTCATAGCTATGTATATATTCTAACAGATTCCTTTCGGTCCAAGGGTTGGTAAGTTTGAATACATCTGGTTGAATGTCTACTTCATATCAAGCACTAGTTAAAAAAAAATTATATACTATTCAAAACGAATTCTATGACTATTTAATGAATCGAGCAGTGAGTCTATTTCTGTGAATAGTCTTGCGTACTCTCATCGTTCTGATCGTATAATTATTAGAATTGAAATATGTGAAGTATAGTTACTTGTGTAGTTCACTCTGCGTTCGATATTATGAGAAGAGTGTCTCTCTTTCTGTTTATTAGGAACGTTAGTTGAATTAGGCTTAACAACGAAAAAAAAACAGATGACCGCAGTTATATAATCGGCCAATCGAGCGAAGAAGTCACATTAAATAAAATACGAATATAAAGAAAAGAAAGGAGACAGTAGACGAAGATAGTAAATGTCTTTATCTTCTAACAAAGCATTTGTTCAATTCAATAGCGCCAATGAGAATTGTTGCAAAAAAAATTCAAAGAAATGGCTGATTTTAAAAGATTCTATTGAAAATGTTTATACTATATTTTTTTTTGCATGATTGAGTCATTTATTGTGGTAAAACGAACAATACAAATCATATTTCGCATACAGACGTCAGAAATAGACTGTAATCGAAATATTTTTCAACGTTTTTTATGAAACTTGTACAATAACAAGTTGACAAACTTTTAAAAGATTAAATTGTTTCATTCGACAAATATGTTTTAATGACGCTATACAAGATATAATTTGTCAAGTCACTGCATGAAGAAGATTCAAACAATTGAATTGAAGTTGTAAAATTTTTGACAACAATCAAGAGAATTAATCTTTTTCTTCCGAACAAAGTCGCTTTTTATTTAAATGATAGATCAATAAAAATATAACGTGAAAATCAATCTGCATGAGATATATATGAAGATCTGATTGAATTTAGAATGAGAGTCAATAACAAAAATAAATTAATCCAAAAGTAAACTTTTTGCAACGTTTTTTTTTTCAATGGTAACAAGACTATTGCACTTAAGATAGATGCTCCTACGATATTTGCTTTAAAAATATTAAGGGATAGATGGTAATGGTTACGGTAGAAGTTATTGTGAGTATTCAAATATTGTTAAAATACTATAATATTGAAAAAAAAAACATCTGTAAATCGCTTGAACATTTTAAAAATATTTACTTTTTTTTTTATAGAGGAAGTTTGAGATGTTTTGTATTTAATCTTTAGATATCTGAAGATAATTATCAAGTAGTACTGACAATATATAAGCTGAACTTGCTTTTAAATAGCTAAAAATAAAAACCTAGAACATCTTATGTACATATAAGAATTAAATAAATAAACAAAATTTTCAAAGAAAAAAAAAATATATTTTAAAGATATTTCTTTTGAGAAGCTACGGCATTTTTGTACAATGTTCCTTTACTATTTATAAATAACATATATAATATAGATAAAAATTTCGAGAATTTTTAAATTTGAATCGTCACAAGCGAGCATCAGTTCGTTTCTTTTTTTATTCAATCAAAGATAAAAAGGGACATTAGAGACAAAAAAGTTGGTATATATATATATATAGATTTAATGATATGGTCAATATTGTAATTCATTCATGACGAATCAGTTCTCCTTGATAGGCAAAGAACGTCGACGTAAGTGACGTTTCTTTTTAACCGAAATAGGTTTTGGATCAGTCACTTCCCAACAATACTCTTGAATAGGACACAGCAGTACTGGATAACTGTTGCATATAGGCATACGTGTACATTCTCGGCGAGCACTGACCGTAGTGATAAATTGAAAGAGTAATAAAGCAACAACGACGACGATAAAAGCACTCAATAGATATGAGAGACGATAATATGCCATAGTAAATCGTAAATATCAAAGAAAATGTCGAAGTAATACGTTTAAATATAGTGATCGAATGAATAGAAATGAAATATATAATTAAATTCTTTATATATTTTTTCATTTGAATAACTAATTATAACATCGAATTTTATAAGAGAAAGAATTACACTTGGTATTGCGCACCTAAATTATTATTCAAAATAAAAATTATTCAACAGAATTATGAGTGAGATAGACAAAAAAATTTTTTGAAATTCTATTACACACATCATTTGCTTTTCGATTAATACAATATTAAAACATAGGAAAGAAAAACCAGTGAAATCTTAACGAACATCGTTCATTACTTGAGTTTTTTCACGCGATATGTCTAGTAAATAGGAATCTAGTATTGACTATTACGATCAAATAAAATGCGCAAAATACAAAATGTTTCTTTTTGTGGAAGTTTAAGGTTCTCTCACAGTGCGCAGCTAGGCAAATATTTGACTAAGAATTAAAAATTGCGATTTTTCACGGTTTAAATATAGGAATATATAGTCTATCGAATGATATAAATAACTTTGCTACAATCTTAAAAAAACTGAAAAATCATTTATACAAAAATTAGCCTGAAAATCGTGATGTCACTGGGAAAATTCATATCTGAGTAAATTAAACTGTTCGATAGACAAGTCAAGTACATTTTCTGTATCTTCAAGTCGAGCTCTATACAATGATAAAAAACATTTTTTTCTACAGTGTCGTCCGAACGGCTAGTCCCGTAAAACGAACAATTCATCCACATCCAATCTCCAAAGTTTTCCAAGTTTTGCCAGAATGCCCTTCTATCTACTGTCTTTAATTCCTATTAGCGCAAACATCCCTAGACTACATAGTGGGTTTTCAAAAAACTTAGGGGCGTCAGGTGATTTTCAGTTTGTCCGGTTTGAGTAAAATATTTAATTGACAAAAATAATTAGTATATTTGAAATCAGTACATAAAACTGCATCGAATGATATATAATGGAAAACAGTTTTGAAGAAAAATATTTTCTCGAAAAAATGAAGACAAGAATCCCATCAGGCATTTTTTGTCGAAAAATTTTTTTCCTCGAAGAATGTTGTTTTTCTTTAAAATGCTTTTTCTGTCTCATATTTAATCATTTCTGAGCAAAGAAATCCGTTTGCGAGCTGGAAAGTCACATGTCCACTAGCCATGCAAAAAACGCACACTTTGCCATCCCACTCTAAAAAATCTAACTTCGACAGAGTACATGAAATATTGATGATGCTTTGCATAGATGTTTGATTCATGGAGGCGTGTCGATAAAAAAAATTTACGTATTCATACCCTACCGTTCAGAAGATTTCTAATGACTAAGCTGCAGAATTCGGATTGGTTTCATTTGAAAGAGAGCTTCTTACTATTCCGGATGAGGAAAAGTTTTTTTAATTTTTACACTGTTTCATTTTTTTGGATCATTGAAGCTTCAAAAGTTTGAAAATGCGCTACGCATGGCTTTCTGAAACACTAAGAATTTATCTAGCATTGAAGATTACTTAGAAAATTCCTTTTCATTACCTGAGGAACTATGCATATATCTATTGATAAAAACAAAACACAGCTCTCTAGAATGAAGTATATTGAGAAAAAAAATTTGTCCGCAATTGGATCATTACCGAAAAAAAACAATTTTGAGAAAAACACAAAAGAATTTTTTTTATATAGTATCCCTATTATTACTTAAAATATGATAGATATATTACATATCAATCAAAGCATTTGTCTATACACATTACAATGTCCTTTTACGAAGTATATCACTAACTACCATTCCATTTATATTTTTTATACTATTCAACAACATAATAATGACAGAATAATAACAATTTATTGTTTGTTTTTTAATTCACTTGTTACTTTACAGTTTTTTTAAAGACTGCTAATGATGATTAGTTTTTATTAGTAACTCATAAGAAATATGGTATTTGATTTTATATAAAACATCTACTTTGAGGGTGCGGATGAATAGAAAATCTGCATCTGTACCCTCATGCCATTGTAGATCACAAAAAGCATGTCTCTGAGATGTACAACATTTGATTACTTCTGAAAAATATTTGCTTATTTTTCGGATCTAACACTACCAACAAAATTTACTCATGGCTCTAGACATCATTATTTGTTCAGATAGTTTCTACGATTCCCTCACAACTTTTGAGAATCAAAAATCATTTCTTTTGACGAGAATCTAGTTCTCTGAAGGAAGTCTTCAACGAATATTACAAAGAAAATCAGATTCATTTCTATTTTGTATTCATTATGTACAAAAGTGATGTGTGTAAAAAAAAATGACAACTGCAATTCTTAAATGTTTAATAATCATTACAATGGTCGAAAATGAAGGTATTCAAAGCATTGAGTAGATGATCACCACTTGCTTCTCGTACAGCAAAAACAAAGTGTTCAGGTTCATTCATAGGATGCACATCGGTAACTGCCAACTGATCTGGATAACATGTCGTTGCTAAATAATTACTACAAATATCACCTTCAGCAAATGCATCTATCGTTCCATCGAGCAGTTGACTAACTATTTCTGCTTGATTGCCATCATAATAAATGATACATGCATTTGTTGGCTTTCGTTGTTCGGTATCAAGTTGTGCAGTAGAACCAGTTGTCACTACAATTTTTTTACCACTAAAGTCAGACATAGTTTTATATTGTTCACGATCAGTAGCACGAATAAGTAATGAACGTTGCACGGTATAATAAGGTTTACTCCATACAACACCTGGTGTTTTACGAGACTCCAAAGGAGTAATACCACCTGTTGCAATATCAATTTCATTATTACCTGGTCGTTGCCAAAGTTGTTCAAACGGAAAGAAATGAAAGACAATATTTAGATTCCATTTATCAGCAAATGCTCGTAACAAATCAATATCTCTGCCACGTGCAGTACCATCATCATCACGCCAGGTGACAGGTGCAAATCCAGTATAAGTACCAACCGTAAGTGTTCCTGGTTTGATCAAATGAAATTGTGTCATTCGTCAAGTAATTTTTAGTTTCTTATCATACTAAAAAGCGTATATATAAAAGAAAGAGATAAAAACAAAAAACATTACTTATCTAATGTAAATGATAAGTTTAAAAGAAGAATGAAAAATGATGATTATAAGGAACAGCATAAATATCAGGCAAAAGTCATATCAGAACAAATTTTGTTTTTATTAAAAATTTTTTTATTATAATTCTCAAAAGAAAATTAAACTTAAATGAAAAAAAGAACCACATTTCAAATAATACAACATAAAAGAATAACTGGTGATTCGATATTTTAATCTAAATTATGATACGATATACTTTAATAATATTCATTTCATCAATCAAATTTTTATTCTTTTATTATTTCTTTTTGAAAAATATTCATATACTATAATAAAGATCATTATATCAATATAAAACTATTTTCATTGAATCTTGTATTCTAATCTTCTTTATATTGGTATAATATAATTAATAATATCGAACTAAAATGTATTTTGTTAAATCTACAACGGAATTTAATGTTGAAATCAGTACGATAATTGTGTTTTTAATTCATAGATCGCTGACACTTAATCAATGTGTTCATTTATAAATATTGTACATTTCATGTAAAGATTTCAAAAAAAAACCAAATAGAATGTTTTCAGACAAAAAAAAAACTTCTTTATTTTATTATCTTAGATGTCTCTCATTATACTATCAGTTCCAAATAAATGGCATTTTTCATTAATCTTCTACAAGAAAAAAATAAATTATGTTAGAATTCATTTATTCTTCACATTGATTTCAAATTATTGATAGATTAAGTTCTAATTTGAACAAGAAAAATATCTATGATATATTATTTAAACAGACACAATTAGTCATTTTCTCTTATTTATACTATTCAAGTGTGAAAGTAAATAAACAATTTAAAGCAGTAAAGTATGTATATTCAGTGAATAGACTTCAGGATATTTGTCTTCAGTTCATATATTAATATTTGTACTCTAAAGAAAACATTCATTGTATTCATTATTGGATTGCTTGTTTTTTTTCTCTCGAGTGAAGAAACGTATCATACGAAATAAAATACATTTGTATGCTTGATTGCACGTGCAAAGTCACGTGTACACATATATTTGTGAAGATTCAGAACAGCTATTTGATATGATGTGTGGGTGTACTAATATGATGGATAGGTATGGCCGTAAGTGTATTTGAGTATTATTTGTTGAATAAGTGAAAAGAAGAGTTACATAGACATTCAAAACCAAATCCATATTGATACTGGTAAGCGTATCAAGATTCATACTCACACCGACTCTCATGCATACATTTGATATCATTATTGATTGAGCTTGTATAGTAGGATATTATACAAGAAGAATTGAATATTCAAGCGAGTCGTAACGACAAGAGTTGTTTGTTTTTAACATATTAAACATTTAAAATATTTTGTATATTTTCTTTGAAGATAGAGATTTTTGAAATTTTTAAGATTGTATTGAAAATAGAGTTTGTAGAGATGAAAAAGAAATTGAAACAAAATTCTTCAAAGTTTGTATAATGTTATAGTCTCAACTGAGATGAACATGAAAATCATTTCGAAAAAACTCCTGCTTATGATTTCGATTGAACAATTGTTTTTGTTGCTAATTATATTGATCAAATAATTGTAATAGTGTTGATTCGTATGCTGAATTATGATCTTAATATTTATTTTATACGATCTCTGATAACCACAATGAGCTAATTTACGTTTAGCTTATCAACATATTGTATTTATTTGTTTTATTTAGTTAAGTTATAAAATGCATTTGACTCATTATTGATACATAGCATTAAGTAGATGTAGAATTTTTAATGTTACCTTTGCTAAGTATGTTGCTAGTTTTGATATGGTGAGTATTTCTTAAATTTTTCTTTTTGTCTTTGGATAATGCTCAAATATTAAATACAAATGAAAGAACTATACTTCATTTATTTCAAGATAGTCAATTGCTGATAATGTGATACTTGTTCATCTTGTATTTATTACAATTTTGTGAGTACATTGCATTATGTTCAGTATTTATATATTAGATCTAGTTATTATCTATACAGAACAAAATGCATGTAATCATCTTATCTGCAAGATATTATCGATGGTTTAATATGCAATTTATGTAATAAATGATGTCATAACATGAGTAAGATAAAATACATTTTATTTTAGTGTTCATTTTTATATTTATTGTTGTATTTTAAAACGTTTTTGAAACTAACATGTTCATCTCAAATGATAGTTAAATAAAGCTAATCAACTAACAACGGAAGATTTCTAACTCACTAAAGTCAATTGAGTTAATTATAAATTTTGTCCATAACTAGGTTTCAATGAGATTAGTCAAAGACTGAAACGATAGGGATTCTTCTTTTCGAATTTATAATTTTCACATCTCTGCAATGGATTGATGGAAATATCGACTAATATTCCAGAAGTTTTCGCAAAAAACGAATGCTTCTCTCTCGATATTGAATTCTTAGCAAATATAAGTGGTATTTGAAAATTCAATAATTCGAGAAGGAAATTTTCTAGAATATTCTGAGAAGCATTAGACGTACATTTGCACAAAATTCGATCATTAGATGTTCCATCAATATCATTCTCAGATGATGAAAACATATTATAATAGTTATAATTTCGAAAAGAAGAGTTCTTGTCCTTGCAACCTTTGATTAATCTCACCGGAGCTGCCGTATGAGCAATAAATCAGCTCAACTAGCGTCTGTCACTTGAGGATCTTCGCTCATTAAAAATACTCAAGTTGAATCGTTCGTATCATAGGAAAATATCAAAAACAGAAGGAAATTTTAATATGATTTTGTATCAGTTATATAATTTTTGATGTTTATTATATACATCCAAGAAGATTTTTTAATTGTTATATCAACCAAATTTTAATTCTATTGTTGAAAATAAAACATATATTCAATGTTAGCATTTGATTTTTCTGGATTATTCATCTTATTCTTTCGTCTTTTTTTTTCTAATGTGAACATGTCTCCATCTGTATAATTATTAGTCAATTTATTTCTATTATAACCTAGTAATCTTCGTTTACAATTTTGCCTGGTTCCTCTTTCTTTTTTGATTGATAATTTTTATTCACAAATCAAACAAATTATAGGTTTCATATTAATTTCAAGATTCTAATTCCTAATACAAATGATTTGTAATTAAGTAAAAGTCTATGAATATGAATAAAACATCTGTTTATTATATAATTATTTGTCTTGTTGAATGAAATCGGAGATATGAAAGAAAAATATAATAAAAAATATTGTTGATAATCACGATATGTATAATTTGTTTTATTCCATTGAGCTATTCATGGATTTCTTACGTCATACTAACATAAATAAGACGCGTCAATCTCAATGGAATTACTTAAAATCATAGATTATTTTTATTATTCTTCTTTCACATGCATTTTTCAAGTCTTAGAGTATATCCAAATATAATTTCTATTGTCTTTCTATTTTAACTATGACGATAATTGTTCCATTTAGAGTATGATTTACTCTCTGTATTGGATCAAAAAAACGAAGTAGAGTGAGGTGGGGGAAAATCAATTATGCTTTCAGTAGTTTCTTTTTTTTCTCTTATAACTTTTCTATTTTTCATCAAATCGAACAATTTTCCCTACCAACTATGTAGAGCAGACAAAGCTCTATAAGACTATGCTTTTAGTTTTTTAAAATACTTTTCAGGAGCGGATCTACGCCGATTTTCAGAAGACCACCTTTTCAATCTTTGATTTACCCGTTTGTGGGATAAATCAATTATTACGCTTATGTATCGAGGTAAATCAATTACTATAGCTAATTTTGTCTGGTTTTACTTAAGTCATAAAAAACCTTATTTTTAAAGACTCTATAAATTCAAGTTCGAAAGTTTTCAGATCGTTCGAAAGCTTAGACATTTCTCTACATCTCCAAACTAATTT